GTGTGCGGCACGGTTGCTGGGGTGAAAGAGCGGCGCCGCCGCGGCCGAGCTGGAAAAATAAATAAGCGTTGGTGCTAAATGCCCCTCGCCCCGGCTCTGGGCTGACAGCGAGCGGGGAGGGTTTCTTTCCTAGGGTCGGCCGTCACCGGAGTGGCTGATGGCCCCTGTGCCGCCGCGGTGCAGCCGGGCTGCCACGGTAAAACGCGGCGGAGCGATGCAAATCCTGTATAGCTAAGATGTTAAACACACAAGCGCCTAGCCAGCTTTTAACACAGAGCGGGCCTGTCCTGAGGAAAGAGTTGTTTAAGACAGAATTAGCTGTCTAATTAGTTGTCAGCTAAAACCCTGCTCCAGGATGCTTATGGCATGTTCAATAGCGTAACTGGTTCTATTGCCAGATTACAAGTACACCACAATATCTTTCTCAAGCCACCACAGCATAATTCTTCCAATAACTGAATTTGTAAGTCCTCCTTTGACATTACACACGACAAAGAACCAGTTGTCCTTTGTTCCTGAAGTAGCCCAGCTCATAGACTGAAATGCCCAACGGCCGTTCTTCAAAAATGTTATCTGGTACACCCCCACCAGCAGCAGACAGCGCTCAAAACGCAACTTGAAGCAGATATGACATTCACACCCATAATTCCTCAACCAAGCTCTTAGCCTCACTGATTCCACTGCAGGTCCCAAATGCGAATGTCACCTTAAAGGAAGGGTGTCATAAGGTGAGGGTTACACAGACAGCTTAGCTCTTCCTCCTGGCAGCTGCTGACATGACAACTGAGGTCAGGAAGAGCCAGTTACAAGTACTTCAGGAAAAATGCCTTTTGCTGTGCCAAGGTCCCTTTCAACATTATGTTGAAATCAATAGGTGAACCAACCGTACCAGCTAACGGGAATCCAACACACAGCTAAAGCCAAAGCTGCACAAAAATTACCTGGGTTCAACCAGACTTCATGAAACGCAGCGAGCAGATGCCAGGCTATGAGGAAGTGAGTCACGTTGGGCAACCCCAGGCATACCGTGTACATAAAAGCCATGTGTCACTCTGCTCGATGTTTGTCAGGTTCTTCTCAGCACATCTCACCATCTCTCTCAACATTGTTATTACATCCAAAACCACTATACTAAGCCAGAGAACTGGTTTTGGCATTAGCTGGCAACTGCTTCTCAGAAGCAAACAAAAGATTGCGGCTTCAAAAAAAGAAGAAAAAAAAGAAGGTGAAAGGGTGCTGAGCCTTCCATCTCAGAAAGGCTGTCAAAGGCAAAGCCACAAGACTACCCAGTACAGCTCCATGTCAGCTACTAGAGCTGAATGGGCTTTACTGGTTCCAGTGTCACAGAGGAGATCAGACGGCAGACTACAGCACTTGAAATAGGCTGCACCTTTCAGACCTGGATCACAGTGTCAGACAAGCTACTATGTGGCTAGTTCCTCTGTATGACAGTAGCAATTAAGACATCAACTTGATCTGTTGTTACTGAAAAAGCCAGGCCTTCACACAACTCATCAGCCCTCTCTGTATG